TCTGCAAAACTGCTGGGGTGGGTGGGTGGGGAACAAAACCATAAACTTACCAAGAAACCCAAAACTGTTAAATTTGCTTTAAATTAACCAAACTGATACAAGAATAACTTTTATTGCTGTATCCTTTAGCTAGCTACTTAAATCTTCTAATTCCCCAAAGCTGTACTAGCTTTCTGAGCCTTTGGGCCATTCCCAGCCAGCAGAAGTGAGAAAACAGTCCTTTCTTTGCCAAATCTGTTAGAGTGCTAGCTCTTGGGCACCACAGAATTATAAATCCTTTCTAGCCATATCATCTAATTGTGATGTAGCTAACAATTCTGATGTCATAGATTAAGTGTAGACCACCACCAATTCTCTTATTTTTCATCTGAATCCTAAACCACGCTTTTTCCAGAATTGCTTGAAAGTGTTTGAAAACTTTTGTAAATTCTTGAAGTTTTCTCTTAAAAAAAAAAAAAGATCTTGCATGATGACTATTGTCATAAACCAAATATATGAAAAATTTTTACTTAAGGAAATTGAAATATGTTCTTTTTAATACATGACCATTGATAGTAGGATCAAAAGTATAATGAGGGCAAAGTATGCACAACATGATTGCTGAAGTCCTCATTAGCTGCAAAACAAGTTTTGTCAATAAAAGCTGTGCACCTGATGATTCATCTGTCTGCATCTCAATTAATTAGTGTATCACACAATTTCTGAGAGAAAACTCCATTCATTCTTTCTCCATATGCTTGAAATAACTATTCACCATGCAGAGTACTACCATTTTGGCAAAGAAACCAAACTTTTCTTACAGCTCAAAAAGCTACATCAGCTTTAGGCATTTGAAGCCAGACCAGAAATCTAACTCTCATTAATGTTTACTTATTAATTTCCTCCTCAAAGCACATGTACCTTTAGGGAGGTAGTTTAGGATACAGATTTAAGAATTGACTTTGTATACTTATTTCAAACAAGGTATTTTAAATTCCACCTTTCTTTGCATAAAACTGTATCACCTAGTGGTCAAAGCATGTGAAGAAGAAACTAGCTACTCTACCTAGTTAGAAGTAGTAACTGCTAGAATAAGTCATGGATCTGGAAAACTGGTATTAGAATCCTCTAATTAAATGCTTGATTGTATCGAACCTTTGGAAATCTTTCCTAGATTTTTAAAATTGTTGATGCTCAGTATATTTTAATACTATGGAAGCTGAAGTAGTTGATTATTACAGATAATCCATCATAGTTATTTTTACCACAAGAAACAATCAGTCAGGCCCAAATTACAGTAATGAATTTCCTGTAAGTAAAGATCATTAGCCCACTAAAACATAAGTGCTATTTTTAGCTGCACGAATTTTCTGAATTTCCCGAAGTTACTATTCAATACGAACTTTCTTAATTTTCCTAAAAATATATCATGCTTTCATGCTGAAAACTGAGCTGAGATTTAGACCCTATTTGCTTTAACTTTACTTGTACACGAGAAGTTATTTCAGAGAAATAGGATAGGAACTGAAAATCCTCGATGTCTCAAAG